GAAGGGCAGTTAATGTAGAGAAGAACCAATAATGGGCATAGTATGCCCCCTTGAGATACTCCCGTTTCATAATGGAAAACTGACTGCGCAGAACTGACACTAAGCCGTGATAATTAACCACTGCTGTCTTGATTCTTGGATATAACATCCGGAAACTATGGAACGACGATTTTGGAGTCATCAACGTAGTTATATAATGCAATTTGGAGCACTAAGCAGAAGGAAGTCTTTAACAAAGCGGAGAATGTTACGTATGATGAGTGGGGCTGGTATAACTCCCGGCGGCACTCCCTTTTCACCATGGGAAACTGACTCCGCGGTTAGTTAAGTTAGAGGCGAGGAGCCAACATAAAATCCATTTTAACCCGTGATAATAATCAATCTTCTAATAGTTCGTTTCCTTCTGTACCTTCATGTTCCGGAATTCAAGGTATTAGGAAATGTAGGCATTTACATGACAGTTTGGACCAAGCATATTCATTTAGTGCCTTTGCAGCTGTCTAACTTTCAAAAAGTATGTAAATCCGTGCACCATTTAGTTTATTTTTGTCATCTCCTGTGCACAAATTTAGATTGCATGGGTCTCAACTTGGAGGAATGTTGGCACCAATTACCCCTAAACCTCCCCCGTTCCATCTTTGATCCATCAATGACCATATTAGGGCACCTTACTGAAAATTTTGGTTGCCTTTTTTCCAAAGATCTCTTTTAATTATGACCACTTGGAAGCATCTGTCTAAGTTGAGTTGTCCTGTCATTTTGTCATCCCATTTATTTTACTTCTCTTCAGAATTTTATGATAACTTCTTCTTAGATTTGGTTTTCTCCAAGGTTTCTCACGATTCTGTTGGTCTTTCTACACTTCGCAGTTGGTATTGTCTCTTTGTGTAATGTTTTTCGCTTCCATACCAGAGCTCCATTTGTGACCAAGGGTCTGACCATTGTGGGGTATAACCAGCTTTTTCAATATCTCTAACAAATGCTTAGAAGTCACTTAGCTTTATGCAGTATGCTACACATGACCTCCACTTGAACCTTTGGTCAAGTTTTATACCTAAGTACTTAGTTTCTTTGAAGGTTATGATTTCATCTTTTAAAGCCCTTTTTTTGAAGAATGTTAGTGATGTTTTCTTAGGTCTGATATTTAAATGTATTTTTTCACAGTTTTGCTAAAGTATTAGGGCGTTTAGCATCTGATTGCATAGTATGATCAAATTTTCACCTTTTTTGTGACCAGGTCATCTGCGTAACCTATGATGCTAAGTATGCTAATTACGCTCTGTTGTTAGAGCATCTACTACTAACAACCATAGACACGGCAGCCAGAAGTTCATACATTTGTAAGATGGGTGATCGACTGAGGTTTCCATCGCTCCTCGTGTGTCAGCCAGAGGGTTAGGTTATCGAAGTGTACACTTAGTTTTTATTTGTTGGGGTCTACTCTAATGCCATTGAATATTTCTGATATATTGATAACTTACGCGATAATTTGATTTTCATGAAGTAGAGTATCTTTACTTTGCGTTCATCTTACAATGTTCTTCTATAATAAACATGGATTGTTGCCACTCTCGCTCTTTCCGTATATGTATTCATAAAATATGTAACTCACTCGCTCAGATAAATTAATCCAATTGTCACTAAAATGTTTCCTCTCCAATGTGGCGCAATTGTTTTAAAGGGTGGCTCTCTTTGCAATTGGCTCTCTTGGCAGAACGCAATTAATCTAATGCGTCTCACGATGCACGGTAAGAGCAAGCTAAATTATGGCTAAGAGAAAGAAAAAATAGACACTGCTCTAAACAAAATAAAAGCTGAAGCTAAAACGTTACCTCCCCAAATCACATATATAAGCTATCCATGGACAGAGACACACTTAAATTTGGTTTAGATTAACTTAACAACTTCATCATGATGTGTTTTCTTTTACCCTCTTTCTTGCCGCCTACCATTTACAAATCTTGGACAACTCCATCTTCTGACCTTCCGCTTCACAGCTGAGATTATTTCTTAGTAATTGGGATTCGACATAGTTTGTAGATTGACTGAGGTTTTTTAGAAAACATTTTTATTGGTGGTCTGTGTCTAAATGTGTGACAGGCATAGCGTGGCGTGGCGTAATTTATAGGTGGTTAGCATGCATGAGTGAAATGACTGTTGTCAGCGCCGAATCGTTATTTTATTTTTTAAACAGTTCATGCCAAATATCTAGAAATGCTTTGACAATAAACTACTGGACTGCTCGCTTGTCATTACCCACAGGTGATCATTGTGTGTGTTTGGATGAATGCTAGTGAATCGTTTCTACATTTTCCTTAGATTTTTAATCACTTTTCTGTTCATCTTCAACCAAAACCTGCAATTAGACGCGTTTTCTACTTAGAGTAGAGTTAATTATTGAAGTTTGTCCGTTTCCGACCATCCTCCTTTCCTTATCTTTGCTGTCAATCAGAAGCATTTAAATATATTCCGGTTCAGGTGTTTTGAAGTGATGTCTGCCCTCAAAAGCGCATCCTAGGAATTAGGCGACCCAATATTTTCCAGGAGAATTAAACCAAACACAGTGAAATACCAAAGTTAATACATCAGGGGTGTAGGAAAAGGCCAAATCCGAAATTAAAATCAAATCTGTAAAGGAGACAGTAGTGACCTAAGAGGAATAAAAAAATGACGGTCAAAGAAGAAAGGAGGGAAATATGAGGAAATATAGACCTCCACTTACCACATCAAGACGTGGTAAAACTGGCCAACCCTGTTTCCCGAAAAGTAATTTAAGGGACAGAAAACGGGGGGTGGAGAACGGAAGTAAAATTTATAGCACTGGAGGTAAATCTGCATTATAACAAGGCGACGAGTAAGGTCCTAAGAGCCTCTTCACCTGGAAACACCTAGAAATCTCCATGATTCCACGACCCTGATTGGCCAGGTTTCAGAGTCGTTGACAGGATTTCCTCTGCTCTAGAGAGCAATGAGTATTTGCTGTGGCACAGGCTTTCGCTAAAGTCTGGCATCCATGCATCCTTTATAAAATTAAACAATTCCTACCCACCTTTCTACCTTATTCTTGAATCCGATTCGATTTTTGCTGTAATTCTTCAGAGGTACGGCAGCGAGTACTCTGATATCAGCCCAATACGTGGGAGCACCCTTTATTCCCTTTATACCTCTGACATTACTATCCATCCTGACACCATCATTAATTCCACGGATGACACTGCGATTTCGTCTAATAACTGATGCCACAGCCATGGACAACTTGAGTATATCGAAAACTGGCACAAAAGTGGAAGATAACATAGATTTACATTGAAAAAACAGTCTTGCTGTCCACACCATCTACAAGAAGGTACCGACTTCCACTGACTGTACTTAGATACCTAGACAGCAGACTGACGTGGAACCCCACGCAGAGGCAATCATTTAACTAAACACTTGGCCAATTACGATGTCTTTTAGAAATAAAATCTGTTTTTGCCGAACCCAACTAACTCCATACTGCTACTACTTTGAACATTAAAAAAGGGTGGAAAACTGGAGGTTTGGCCAAGCCATCTTATCCAGCCATCCACAGCACATCCAATCATTCCGATTAAACATCCTCCGAATTATTTTCAAAGCTTCTTCCTTCAGCAATACCCTCAGTAGGTATTGGTGGTTACATCGAGCTAATCAACATCCAGTGCATACAACTCTTCCAATCAAAGGTTCACAGACAAATTAAGTAACTAACTTCATTATTCACAACGACCTCATTTATTTTGTTTGAGTTATCCAATTTCGCGTCGAAAGGTTCCACTTCAAGTTGTCGTTCTGTCCTTATCATACAGCTCAACCCTTATCTACTCTTTACTATACTTAGAACCCGCCATTTTGTATAAACGACGATGACCTGGAGACTTCCTTGCCCCTAATCGGCGATGACTTCGATATCTCCTCTCCCCTTCCTTTATATTGAATCTCGGCGTTGATATGTGTCTTCTGGGTGCTGGTTGGTCAAGTAACTCTACCAAGACTTTGCTAAGACTTCTCTGGACACACCGAGTGGAACTGTGGGGTTCCATCATGCGATCCAGCCCATCTATCCTTCTAATCAAACGTTCCTCAATATCCACAATTACCTCAATATTCTTTTTATCTGAGGTGATCCGATCTCGGGTCCAAAGATTCCATTTTCAATACATCCTTATCATAAAGCCCAATCGTTATCTACACTTTCCTAACCTGTGCACTCGCCATATTGCCTTACACGATGAAGACATCCTCGCTCCTTCCTCATATTTTGTTCCATATTTTCTCACCTGTGTCCTCCGGGTGCAGCGCTGGCCTTTTGTACATATTTGTAAAATATATTTTTCTCCGAATGGGCTACAAATAAATGATATATATAAAAAAAATCAGATTCAGCAATTTAGAAATTTCTGTCTCCAATAATCGGGAGGAAATTTCGTAAAATACCATCGTATTTTAATAGAGCAAATTTCTCTTTTTTTTTGTGGTTTGCTATGGTTGAAGTATTTCAACTGTTAGGAAGCGATTGGCAGCGAAGGTCAATTGGCAGCAGACAAATGGGCAGCAAATTGACAGCACTATAGAACTGTTTACTCAACACAGGCCGATTTATAGTACACAAGCAACTTATGACAATGGCTTTAAGGTGCAATTGTTTAAGGAATGGTTGTTTAACAAACTGGAGTAGGATGGATATTACATGAATCAAACTTGGATGTTAGGCTTTTTAGGTAGGTATATATATGGTTCCAAGGTACTGCCCGTTTTCCATTCGGGTGTCACACTGCGTTCCTATTGTGATGCTTCTTCTGCATCAACCTTCTCATTTCAATTCCGCGAGACCCATGTCAATTTGAAAATTTCTCCAGCCTGCCTCGCATCACACTAGGCTGTTATTGATTCAGCGTAAATAATGTTGTAAAATAAATAGTTGTGCTAGTGCGTGGTCGGGTATTGCAGTAGTGGGTGGTGCGGCCGCGCAAGGGAGCCCGACAAAGTTTGGGGGGCGGCGACAGCAGTCGGCTCCTAACAGTGAGCCGTACTCCATCTCCAATCTCACTACCTCTCCAACAACCATCAAATACACTCCTCATCCTCATTGTAGCGAAAAAGATCACTTTGCCCATTCACTCTCTCCGTCCTCGCAAAGGTACGTATTGAGAAAACAAATGATAAAATTTATGTAGACAAAAAGAGACATTATTAAAAAAATTTACTTTCGCGACGGCCATTTTCATGCAATACGTGTTAATGTATTTTATTTAATACAGCTGTTTTTTTTTTTGTTTTTTTTAATTTTACTCTTGTATTATTATACAATTTTCCCTTTACTGCGAGACCTTGTACTTATCGAACCGGCTCTTCCCATTCTATAGGTTTTCCTTAAAGATTTCTTTCTGACTTTCCCTTTCTGTTTAATTTTCCTCTAAAACCCTTGACCTTTTTATCTAAAGACAAATGTGTTGCACATAAAAATCTCACTTTTAAACCGAAATAATTCAAAATTATCGTATATTTCCTGTATTAAGGGTACGATAAAGAAATTATTTTTAAGCTTTTGTTGAATTATCGGTTGAATAGAAAAGAAAATCAATAAATTTTCCCATACGGCGAAAATATCGCCGATGTCAACAACCTTTATGTAACCAGCTGGAAATTTTGATTACGAGGAAAAACTCGTTAAATTTTTTCCTCCACATGTTATCTTTTTTGTTATATCCTTTGTACAACCCTAATCATATGCTTGTTCTTCCTCTCGACCGTCTGGCTAACAGGACAGATGCATTATGGTCGTATGTTTTCCAAATTCTTATCTTTCACCCTCCCTTTATTGCAAAAGTTAATTAACCCTCGCAAATTTCGAAAAAATCATTTTCCCACTCTTCAAATCAAATGAGTAAAAGTTCAAACAAATTATTGATTATAATTAATAGATCGGTTTATATTTCGAAACCTTACAGGAGGAGCGGTTCTCCGGCAAAACGCAGTTCCAGGCAAAATACGATTATGTAATTGGGTAATTCAGGCCCTGGAATGGAATGATATAATAAACGTTTAAGTTTAAACAATTCCTAACCAGCTTAATATTTCAAAAATTAATTATACCTATTAAATAAATAAATAAAATACTTTATTATTTATTGAATTCAATTTGAAAGTTGATCGTTTATCGTTCTTAGTCTTCTTCATCGATAAGTTCCATTAAAAAGAAAGAACACACAGCCGATAATTTATTTTTTTACATTTTTAATTAACGTCTCTTTTGCCTATAATTTGTAACTTTTGTTCACTGTTGCACAAAGAACTGCAGATAAGTTTCACCAAACTCTTCTCGAAAATATTAAAGGCCAGAGGAAAGTTTTACGTCGGATGTCAATAAGAAAAAAAAGAGGTATTTGAGCGTGAAAAATGCGTCTGACATAATAGACTGCCCTGGGTCATGATCAATAATGAACGAACAGCTGACAAGAGTTCATCCACTTGCAGACAGACAAAACGTACAGTATCGGATAAAGCTTCTTTTCTATGTATTAAGGATGGCTTAGCCAATTTTTAAAATTGAAACGTTCATTTTTTTTGTATTAGTATTGTCAGACCTAATGACTCTCTAATGATTCTTCTTTGACATTTCAAAAACCGATCTTGCTACGATCATCTGAAAATTGGCTTAAATTATATCTAAAGAAAGGCTCGTTTTGAATCACCGGCTAAAATCCTATTTTCTTAACCACTCGAAATCTTTTTATAAAACACCATGTCTATTTTTCGTCAAGATCACATCTAGATTTTTCAGATCGAATCACTTTCTTTATCAAGCAGAATAAAGAAGCAGAATTACCTCAAGACTAATGGATTTGTAACAAAATTTAAAATAAAACCCGTATTTTTCATTCATGGTTAATATGTTTCAATACAATCAGACAGTTTCAGGCTAATTTAGATATCGACGTTGAAAAAAGAAGAAAAAGGACATAGGGCTCCAAATGAAAGAGTGTTTTAGTCAACATATTTTCATTTTTGCTAAAACGTCCGACAAGTCGGACAAAAGGTAACATTGATACTAGCTGTAAAAGGACTGTGTAGGTTTTCCCTGTGTACGTTTTGGGGGACATAAATTTCAATTTAATACTTCCTAAAGGGCACTTTCATACTTGATTGAACTGAAACATCCCACATGGTATTTTCATTTCACCTTGGAACGTTTCTTGGCAGAATTTTCCGATGCGGTGGTGCCTTATAGAAAGGAGAATACGTACGGAATAGATTTTTTTTGTATCAGTTTATATTTGTCGAATGACCAAAATATAAGTTTGTATCGATTATGGGGATTGAGCCAAATGGAAATGGCCATGCGGGCAAATTGCTCCTCGCCAAATTAGTCTATTAATTATTTATTAGTCTATTAATTCTATTAACGAAGCAGAGTTGGTTTTAAGCTCTTAAAGTTGAATTTTATTAATTGTACTGTGCTTTAGGTTTTTCGTTCTTTGAAGACTCGGTGGTTTTTTCGAACACTCACAAAAAAAATGAAGATTTCCCTATATTAGTCAAATTTTCTCAAAACCCCTAAAGCAAACAAAACCTGAAATTTTTCCTTGTCTAGATTAAATTTAATTCGTCCGAAGTGAAAGAAAAAAAACTAAAAGTTTTGTGATAAAAAGTATCGTTTCTTTGGTACGCTCATCAACTTTTTAATTTTTCTTGCGGCTCCTGTTAATTTAAAAAAAGGAACTTTCTGTATAATTATAGTAGATCTACGTACCTACAATTTAAAAACTAATTCGACAAAATATGGCAGCTAGTTTTAGAGAAAACGGGTCAAAATGTTGTCCAAACTGGCGAATTGCATTTTGACAAACTATTTTTTTAATTGTATTAATGAAGTATCGTTGGTTTTAAGTTTTCAAAGTAAATTGTTTCCCAACATTATCGGAACAAATAGGCAAGATTAAATTTAATTTGTCCAAAATGAATGAAAAAAAAAAAAACTAAAAGTGTTTTGTTAAAAAATATCGTTTCTTTGGTACTCTCATACTTTAGATTTTTTTCTCAGGGCCCTTATCAATTTAAAAAAAGAAACTTTCTGTGTAATTATAGTAGTACTATGTACCTACAATTGAAACACCAATTCAACAAAACATGGCAGCTGGTTTTAGAGAAAACGGTCAAAATGGTGCCCAAACTGACAAATTGCGCTTGGACAAACTATTTCATTAATTATACTAATGAAGTACCGTTAGTTTGAAGTTCTTGAAGTTAATGTTTATTATCTACACAGTAGTTTTTGAACTCATTGATAGTTTTCAAATTGTGTTTTAAGTTTTTCTTTCTTTGCATGCCCTTTTCTGAACATCCCAAAAAATGAAGTTTCTTCGTATATTTGCCAATTTTCTCAAATCAAGTCTAAACGCTGGTAAAACATGATTTTTCTATTTGCTTCCTAACACTATTAGAACGCATGGAATAGATTAAAATTAATTTTGGCAAACCATTGTCGATTTGATCGCAAAATAAAGAACCGTGAACTCCTCCACTCAACACAGAACATTTTGTTTATCCGTTTACTTTTTCTGAGTTTATTTTGCTCCTCTTCAGTGAAAATATAAACAATCCTGGAGAATTTGGTAAAGGTATTTTGGAATTTCGGTAAAGAGATGTATTTAAAAAAGAATTAGCTGAGAATCTCAGCTTATGAGAGCTTAAATATTGCCAATTTCAAATAATAAAAAACACAGTACTTCTACTTATTGGAAAAATGCAGAACACTAAAATGTACCGAAAGACTTGTATTATTTGTTGCATTTTCCAGAAGTAACTTTTTCTAAAAATTGTATCGTATGAATAATGATGAATATGTTACCTCCGTCTCAATCTCTCCGCACCAAAACGATGGCCGAATTTTCACCTTTGAATCGAAAAATTCCGGCTTAATTACTTAATTGCCTAATTACTCAAATACGGTGGTCTTAAAGCCTAAGTGCAACAATTTTTACTTCACAATGAAGTATTTCCAAATCCAGTTTTCACGTCTTCGAGGCAAACTAACCATTTTTCTTCCTGGTCCCCAATTCATCGAGTCAGAAATTTTTCGTTATTAAGCAGTAAAATAGAAGCTTTTTTCAGATTTCTGTTGACGTTTCGTCTTTAGTGAAAATAGACAAGTTCCAATTAGGCTTATGAGAGCTTAAATATTGCCAATTTCAAATAATAAAAAACACAGTACTAAGCTCTGTAGCTTACTATGGTGGATAATTTGACGATTATAGTGGATAATCGTAGGGAATGCTAGGTTTTATATTTCCTAAGCATTGGAGCCCTCTGGCTTATTGTACTTTTCTATTTTTCTTGTTATCTTCTCTTAATAAGAAGTAGGTCATTCCTGGAATTCTTTTTCCCGCGACTTCATGGTACTTGAGGTTGTCTCCATTGATCAGTTGCCTCGCAATCGATGGTGATATGTGTGGGAGTTTCTTTCTTCAAGTACTAGAAATAAATAACAATATTGAACAAGTATTGAACCAGTGCTACCAACTGCTAGACGTTAATGTGATATTTTTCAACTTAAAATTGATATTTTTTACAATAATATTGTACTCTCTGGGTTATATTATAATAACAGAGTTTGCCAGTTAATTTACAACTAGATTACTAATAAAAAATTTTAAAGTGAAGAAATAAAGTGAAATTTCTGTAGTGGGTAATCTACCAATTGCTAAACACAACCGTCGGTTGAAAATTCCAATCGCCTTGAACTTTCTCAACATAATAATAATAATTATTATTTGTAGCCTCAGCGTATTTTCATGTACTTTCGAATAAATTCATCTTCTCATTATCACTCGGGGTTTGTTTCAAACCAGGAAATTTATCTGGTATAGAACAAGTTTACAATTTGACATCTACGATAGCTGACCAACAGAGAAATTATTCACATCCTTTTGTCAGAATATTCCGAAAATTTTGTCAAAGTTATTGCTCTGAATGTTTTAGTAATGAATTCCTTAAATGGAGGTAGTGATGAACATTTACTCACTAATTTTCTCGTTTGATCGAAACATCGCTCGTTAGAACTTCTTGCTCATCCAAAACATCATTATAACTATTTCCCGACGGTTTCTAATTTTCCGAAATAATAATTATTTCCCTTAA